GTAGTCTATCGTCCGACATTCTACTTACCTTGTACTGCCACTTCAACTTCTGCATGTCTCTCTTTGTTTTAAGAGAGTACATTCCCAATTCTGCTCTCAATACAGTGTTGCTCGTTGTACTTGAACATCCTAATATTTTCTTGGCCGCTGCCATCTGCACCGTTTCCAGCTGCTTGACGGCCTTTTCGTTACCTTCCCATATCTCTCCTGCATACTCTAGCTTAGGTACAATCACATTCAAGAGAATACACCTCTTAATCCTAGTGTCTAGGTGTGGGTCCGTAAGGATCTCGTCCATCTTGCCTATCTGAGCTTTACTCTTCCCAATCAACTTCGCTATGTGTGCGTCCCATGAGCACTCCTTCGAAATCTCTACTCCCAGGTACGTATACTTGTCTACTACCGGTAGTTCTTCCTCCCCCCATTTCCATTTGAATTGTACGGGATTTTTCTTATCTTCGTTACAGACCACTACTGCGCATTTTCCTACGTTCGCCGACAGTCTCCATTTTCGGGTGTATCCTACCGCCGCATCTATTTGTTCTTGCAACCCTTCTGGTGTTTCGGATACCCCCACGAAATCATCAGCAAACATCAGTCCGGACACACTCTTTCCCTCTACTTGGACTCCCTGTCTTACTGCTTCAACCGCCCTTATCAAATCGTTGATGTAAATCTTAAAAAGAGTGGGTGACATCGTACAGCCCTGAGCGACTCCTTGGAGTATATCCACGTACTTCGAAATTTCCCCATCCAACATCACCGCACTTCTTGTGCATTCTGTCATCTTTTTCAACATCCTCCACATTTTCCCCCGGATCCCGATGTCCCACATCTTTTTCCACAATCCATTGCGCCATGCGGTGTCGTAGGCTTTTTGTATATCGAGGAAGAAACAGTATGTCGTACGCCCGGCGTCTTTCCTACCTTGGATGATTTTACTCAACGTATATACATGGTCTACACAACTACGATCTGGTCTAAATCCAGCTTGTCCTTCGCTGATCTTTTGTTTCCCCTCCAACATGTCTCCCATTCTATTGTCTATCATCTTGCCAAACAGTTTCCCCACTGTGCTCAACAGGGTTATCCCTCTATAATTCCCCGGGTCAGCTTTATCCCCCTTTTTGAACAGGTTCACGGAGGGGTGGGGGGGGGGGATTCGTTGGAGGGGACCTTGTTGCAAGTAGGCGTACATACGTCCGTTGACTCGAGACGGCACGTCAAGTCGACTACTACGGGCTTGTCCTTCGAGAGTTCGAGGTGTGACCGGGGTTCGATGAACCTCGATTCAACGGGCTGCCAGAGCCAGCCCACATTTCAAGCCTGGGTTGGCTGGATGCTGCCTGCTCTTGCTGCCTTGATCCACTGTCGCCTTCACAATTCGCCAAAAGACAAACAGGCATAAGATATGGATTCATCTACTGCCAATACCCCGGTGGTCTAGTTGGTAGCCTCGTAACCTTCTAGAGGTCAGGTCAGGGGTTCGAATCCCGGCGTAGGCGAGCTTTTCTTGCAAAGTGAGTTTTTCTCTCGCTTCCGCTCCTGGCCAAGTGGATAGCGCTAGTTCGTGTGTACACAGAGGGAGGGAAGAGAGTGCTGAACTCTTCTCGCATTAAAAATTGAAGGCGAAGTACCGCAGGAGGGGAGGGTAGAGAGAGGCTCTTCTGTGTGACCACGGGAAAAAAATACCACGAAGAGCCGAACCACTGGAATACGCGACCCCGCTCCCCCCCGCACAACCCCGAAAACCACGCCAACCTGGTCCTTGACGGTCCTCTTAGGCGGGAATCTCCCCGCCTTTGCCTTTTCCTTCTCTTCAACTTGCTGCTGTGCCGCTTCCGCGGGCGGCGCCCCCCCCCCCACATTTTCCCACCCCGTCCCCCCTTGGTTCTGCTGGTGGAGGTGTTGGTTCTGCTGATGCTGCTGCTGTCGCACGGGAACAGCGTCCCTGGTTCCTGCTCCATGCATGCCACCTCCGTTTATTCCTCCGCGGCTCTGCTGCTGCTGCTGCTGCTGCTGCTGCTGCCTTTGCCGTTGCAGCGCCTCTTGCTCCAGGCGGACATGCTCGGCTACCGCTTGGGATTGCATGGCATGCAAGGATTGCACCGGGTTGTTGTTGCTCGCGCCGGGGAGGTCGGCCGGTGCCCGTTGCTGCTGCTGCTGCTGCCGCCGCTGTTGCTGCTGCTGCTGCTGCCGCCGCTGTTGCTGCTGCTGCTGCGGCGGCTGCTTTGAGGCAGCGTTGAGACCTGCCTGTTGTCTCAATCGTGGCGTCATCGGGAGGCGGAGCGTTCACGGTCGGCGGTGGGGATCTAGTCGAATTCGGTGGATGGTCAATGGCGGGAACGGGGTGCTAGCTACAATGGCAGCCGTGGGTGACCCGTTGGCCACACGCCCCTGCTACAACACAGGGCACCGTTCCAAAAATACTCCTGAAAAGAGACGGCATAGACACCCGGGTATTCTTGCACTCCCATGCTACATTTTGCATTAAATACCTCCTGCCACATTTCGCACAAAATCCTTGCTCGTAGATAATTAGTTCCCTTCCTCAGGGATAGAGGGCCCTCGTTCACCCTCGTTCCGAGACACCAAGGTCAACACTTGCGCCCTCTAACCTGTAGGTGGGAGCGGTTGGCAGCCTGAACAGGGTCTATCACGTGTCCCGCTTGCCGCGGCTGGGAATTTCCTTGCGGCGGCGCCCCCCAACCCGAAGCTCCACCGGCTTGAACTACCGCCGCCATGCTGCCCCCCCCGCCCACCTGCTGCTGCTGCTGCTGCTGCTGTATTTGGTTCGGCGTCTGGGCGACCGGTTGCCCGTGCTGCCACGAGTTACTCGAAGAACCGCTCTCGCTGAGGCCCGGCGGCCCGCCGCCGCTCCCTGACCCCCCCGCCGATACATCGGCGGGGACCCCTCCCCACGAGGAGGAGGAGGAGGAGGACGGCGGCGGCGCCTCGCCTGGCAAGGAACCCAAGCTGCCTCCGCCGCCGACAGCGGCGCCGGTGCCGCCGACCGCCGCGGCCGTTGGCTGCTGCTTGATCCAGTCCAGCTGCTGCTGGTACCCGGGCGTGTCCGAGGCAGCCTCTGGGCCGCCGCCGGCAAGCTCGCCGAACCGGCTGCCGGCAATACCGTCTCCCAGAGGCTGGACATCCAGAGACTTCGCGCCGAGCATAGTGGCGGGCGAGTTCATGAACGCCGATGATGACGATGCTGCTGCTGCCGGCGCCGCTGCCGGCGCCGCCAACGGCTGGTACGGAGGGAACCCCTGCTGCTGCTGCTGCAGTTCCCATGCCCCCTGAGACTGTTGCTGCTGCAGCTGTTGCTGCTGCTGCTGCTGCTGGTGAGGATCATCCCAAGTCTAGGGAGTGGGGCGGAACATAAATCAAAATCGCCCACGTTGTATAAACATTAAGGTGAACGAGGGGGGGAGGGTGAGGGGTTACATGCCGGCGGGGGGTGGATAAGGCTCCTCTCCCGGGTTTAAAAAAACTGGCCAACCTCGGGGCACGAGGAACACACGCTCTCCCAAAATAGGGCGAGACGTAACACCCTTCCGTAGGGCTTCCGCACCACAATTCGCACATACAAGCGCCGCTAAATGCGCGCTGCAGAACCAACGTCAAGAATGATAACTACTGGAACAACAACGTCTCCGATCGACTGCATGTTCTATTCTAGCCCAGGGATGGGGAGGGGGGGGGTGCTTTCAAGTTTCCTCCATGAGGGCGCATTGGCACCGTACACGTTCACAACGCGAGCGGGAATCCAAGGTTGCCAAACCCCATGCTTTTGCCCGTCGCGACGTTGATCCGTACTGAACACAATCACTACTACGCGCAGGCAAGAGGAGAAAGGTATCACACGCTGCACACGTCCGCGATCGGTGGTGCACCCGCTACAAACGACACAGCAGTAGCAAGAGGCCCGTCGGACCCAGCTCGCCCACAGTCGCGGCACCGTAGACGTACTCTCTACTGCTTTTGCTGCAGTACATGTTTCGGCACGCACGCACCCACACACCTACACGAGGACGTATCGCTCGCTCACCGTCTGGTTCAGCTTGGCGTTGTGCCAGTAGGCCCTGTTGCCGTTCTCCTTGGACGTGTACATGACCCACTCCCCCTGCTCCGACGGCGCCACGACCGTCTGCACCGGGGAGCGGGAGACACCACCACCGCCGACACCCCCCTCCCCCGACACCGCCTTCATCGTCGACGCGGCGGCGGCGCGCGTTCATGTCCTGCACACCGCGACCGTCCGCGGTCGCGCCTCCCTCTCCGAATAGCCGGCCGCTGTCGGGACCGGGGCCGACAGGGTACCCGCTGCCGCCGCCGCCGCCGCCGCCGCCCCCGAGGGAGAACTGGGGCTCCGGCTGAGCCCTGCCGCCCCCTCCCGGCATGCCGCTCAGCGGGCCAACGTTAGCAGAACCGGGGGGATTCGACGTGGAGGATGGCGAAAAGGGCATGCTACCACCGTCACTTCCGTACACCCCCCCCAACCTGCCGCTCCCACCGCCACCGTCGCCTGGAGGGACTTGATCACCGACGGTAACGCCGCCGGCCGGCATGGTCATGGACGGTTGCTGCGCATCGGGGCGAAGCGGAATGCTGTTGCTGTTGTTGCCGCTGCTGCTGTTGTTGTTCATGCCTATCAAGCCCACCTCCGAAAGCGGTCCTCCGCCGCCCGGGTTTCCAAGGTCACCGAAGGGATGTTGCTGGGGTTGCTGAAACATGAAACCGCCGGGCTGCGGGTTGAAGCGCTGCTGCTGCGGCTGGGCCATGTGGAACTGGTGCAATGGGACAGAAAACCGTGGAGGCGGGGGATAAGGAGAGAGCGGCGTGGGCGAGACAAACGTGGGATCTCGTGGACACCGGTCACGGAGGTGGCGCAGCAGAGCGTTCAACATACGGTAGAATTTCGCTTCACGATGGAGCCTAGCAGCAGCAAGCCCACGTTGCGTGCGTAAACGCTGTGTCCTGTTCGGGACGAACAGGGGCTTCACGCCACCAAGCAAAAAAAACATACTGCAGCAGCAGGCCTGCGTCCTAAACAGACCTCACGGACTGGTTCAAACATCGCAAACGTTTGTGCAACACAAGCAGATAAAAAAAGCATGGGCTGCGCACGTGCACGCACACGATGTGGTACGGGCCCACCAGAGCCTCGACGGACAAAACAAAGCTGTCGGGGCATGGCTCTATGTTGAAATCGACCACCGGCAACTTGCCGGTCCCCAACCATGTATACCTGCTGGCTATCGAGGTGCTGCTGCTGATAGTTCGACAACGACGGCTGGCCGACACCGCCGCCGTCAAGCGTGAGCCCTCCGAGCCCGGACTGCAGGGACGATGACGTGCCTCCCATGTCGACGCCGGGAGGGGGAACGCCCAGCGCTCCGGCCACAGTAGGAATGGGGCTGTTGACAATGCCGTCAACGTCGCACCACCTGCCAGCCTGCGTACGCGGGAAAAGGGGAAAAAGGCGTAGCGGTACCGCCGTGAGCGGGTGCTGTAGTTTAGCAATCCATCGGTGCGAGATGCATACTCGATGTCTTTCCGCCCTCTTAGAATGCGGGGCACAGGCTTGACATACGAGATTCTTGGTCAAATCGCGAGGGGAAAAACAGTCAACAAATAACAGCAGCAGGTAGCGGAAACTCGCTCAAATCCGGCCTTCTCATCACAAACCTTACTTTGAATCTGTGCTCTTGTGATCTACTCTGTATGTATCTGCCATGGCCGTGACAACCTTCAACTTTGTAATCCAAATCTATCTCCCTTAACCCTCCCAGTACCTCCGCAAAAAGAAATGTTGCAAATTTGTTTGTCGGCCATTGGTCGAGGGGCTTACAAGTCCCTCCAAGAATCGGAGCTCCTTGCCAGACAAAGGGTGACTTGGCTTCAGTATGAAAAGTGTCCCCACGTGTTTTGGGGACACTTTTCATACTGAAGCCAAGTCAACAATTTTTCCAGTACCAGGCGATATACAGAAGTTTCACGACCTAGGGGGCACGCGGGTTGGGAGATGTGTACAGCAAGTCAGAGGCCCAGGAGAGGCATCACACAGCATATCACATAGCGTACCTCCTCAGCCAAGCATGATAGACCAAGGCTTCTCACGTGTGTTGCACACAGCGGAGCCTAGGGTGACTACAGCAGTGCAGTAAATAGACATCAGAGTGCTGTGTCCCCAAAGTGTCCCCATTTGGGCTTCCAGTACACTAGGAGGGTTAAAACCGTCGCAGCCTACCGCACGACATGCCACCGTGGTTGTGACAACATATCGACCAAAGACGCCCGGGGACCACAATTGCTCCGCCACCCCCGGAACAGCGACGGAACGATCGTCCAACACGCACCTGATCAAGGGGAGGCTCGATGTCGCCGGCTCCACCGGCAAGCCCACCCGCTCCTACTACCGAGTCGCCGATGTCATCCCTTGCTCCTCCACCAGCCCACGGGGCCATGGTCGGACCCTCTCCGTTCAGCATGTCGCTGCCGGAGGGCATGAAGAGGCCACCTGCTGGCTGCCCAAGGGCGCCTCCGGATTCCATGCCGTCGTTGTTGCCTGCAGCCAGCTGCTGCGGCTGCTGCTGCTGTGCAAAGTTGGCCCGTTGCTTCTTGCGGTGCTCTTGCAGAAAATGGCGGATCTGGCGGTGGTATCGGTCGCCGTTCTTGTCCTGGTCGTACTTCTTCTGGATTTGGATCGCGGACTCGGGAGCGCCCGGGTGGTTCATCACCTGCATGAACTCCTGCACGTCTCGGTCGTTGGAATCGCCGCCGTCCCTGTTTTGCCTGCCCCCGCCACCAGGGCCGCCGCCTCCGCCACCACCATTACCACGGCGGTGCCTGTTGCCTTTTCGGCGACCACCACCGCCACCGCCACCGCCACCGCCACCGCCGCCGCCGCCGCCGCCGCCGCCACCACCACCACCACCGCCGCCGCCACCACCACCATTACCAGAGTTTCTTTCTACTCGGCCACCTCCACCTCCCCCCTGCCCGGAGGCATCCTGCTGTTGTTGCTGCCCCCCATGGTGCTGCTGCGGCGCGCCGCGTGGCGAGAACGAGGGAAACGGTTTGTCGATCAACAACATGGCCTCGTGTGTCGCATGACGCTGTTAACGCGAGTAGCTCGTGCCGCGTTTTCGGCAAGCGACTGAGCTTCCATCCCCACCAGCCCATGTGCAAACCCATGCGTACAAGTTTTCGTTAGGAAAGGAGGCAGCGTCTTTAGATTGGACCATGGTTGTACATGTTTCATGCCTGCGGCTCCTCTCCATTTCAAAACTCGAAACAGCTGGCATGATCCCCGTTCCTCTTACACGAGCAAAGCGAGGGAGAGAACATGCTAATAGTGCAATCTAGAGAGACTATTGCCGAATTTCAATGCACTCTGGACAGCAGTATTCAAATGCACTCATGGACAAACCATAGAGATTGATTCGGTGTTGAACATCACGTTGGCCGTAGCCACTGGCCATGGGCCCAGCAGGTGAAGAGGCCTCTTTCATACCTCTCCTCCTCCTCCACCCTTGTTGTTTCTTTTCTTTCTGCTCCCTCCTCCTCGTTTTCCGCCTGAACCACTGCTGCCAACACCGGACCCTTCGCCGTGCCCACCTCCTCCACGACTTGGTGCTGACATAACGCCTCTGCTCCTCTCGATGGTCGGCTGCTCTCGGCGGCAGCGGAGCCTGCCTGGTGCTGGGTGCCCTTGCTGGGGGGGGCGCGGAAAGATATGTGCCGGCGGAGGTACCCTGGGGGGCCGGCGGCCTTCTCATTTTCGTGGAGCACACGACGATGGATTCACGAGACCTTTGCACATGTTTCACCCGGTGCGATTAGCGCCTGGGTTGTAGATGGGACGAACACGCACACACACTGCTGTTGTTGCGAGAATCAATAGAACTACGGGTAGGCCATAAACTATTATTTACCACACGTACGAAGTATGAGGGTTGCATTCTGGTGGACTTCTGTCGATACGGGTCGAAACGAATCATGAGTTCGTATTTGAATCTACCGCTTTCGTTGTTGTCTACAAATGATTGGTCTACAGCAGTGGGGGGGTGTATTGTACACAGAGTGAGTAGTCTAGACTTCTCGTCACTACATTTTGCGTGCGATCTCCTGATCTCACGCGCATGCCAATGTTTTGCGTACAGATTGCCTTCACCTATACTGTGTATCGACTTCTGAGGGGTCGACAACCGTGGTAGTTTTTTTGTTAATTTCGCCCCATTCTGCGGTCGAGAAGGACTCAAGAGCAGGGAGCAACGGCTTGCTCACTACATATACATCAAGAACGACATAAACCTTGACCAATCTCTCCTGGTGTGACGAAGACGATGTGTTGAGCAAACAAGAGGGTGTGTTGTGTCGAGAAAAATACCCCAGTCGGTGAACGTGTACCAAGTATGCGAGTTGCGCGTTTGTTCATTGACAGGGTTGTGTGGGTACATATCGACAGGTTCGAAGATCTGTGTTCCAATCACGAAGTGCGTGCAGTAGCATTCATCACTAGCAGCAGGCCTTGCGTTCACCCTTTATGCAGTAGAGAGCCCAGGAGGAGTACATCATAAACAACCCAAAATAGAAAGAGTCACAAACAGAACTTCAGAGGCAACTAAACAACGAATCGACCCTCAAGACGTCGATTGTAATCTTTAGATCTTTAGAAGCACAATCGATCAACGCGAGGAGAGTAGGATGATTCTCCCGCGGATGAAAACTCTACCCAGTTTTGAGTCCAGGGCTCGTGCAGTGTGGCGAAAGATCACCAGTCCATTTATTGACGAGCTGCAGACGGCAGCAATTTCTCGCGCTTGCCGATCGGAGATGGCAAGGGGGGCGTACGGGAGGCAGATCCCTCCCATTCTTCAGCGCCGCTTTTATGTGCCACCACCCTCATCGAGCTCAGCATCAATCTTGCTAAAGTGTTCTTCATACCACCGCTCGAACGGAAGGTATCCTATCCGTTCTTTTTCCCCGCCCTGGGTCAACAACGCCAGCCCTTCGTCCACGTCATCAGACGTCACAAACGCCGCACCGCCGCGGACAATTTGCAGCAACTCCCTCAGCTCGGAGGGATGCAGAAGCCCGTCATCACCCAGCGCCGGGTTCCCTGGCGTCACTCCGGAGGCGGTCATCGCTCGAAAGTGCTCTCTCATGGGACTCCACTTGCAGGCGCACATACCCGGGGTGGTGCTACAATCGCACGGCTTGGATCCGTCTCTGAGACGAAATGCGGGTTCGATGCAGTGCTTTGAGTGGCACTTTCTCGCACAGGCGAGGCATACACGATCTCGCTTGCAAGGCCGGCACACGTAGACTATCTCGTGCCCACCTCTGAGGCTATCAAATACGTCCTTTCCGGGCGGCGCCGTGTCCATGCACCAGTCCATGTGTGGCTCGGCGGTGCCCAGCCGACACTCCGCCGAGGTCATACCCGGCTGACCGGGGAAAAACTCGAGCGGAGTGTCCAACCAATCGGGGTTGAGCTTCTGTTTCTCCATTGTCTTTTTGAGAGCGTCGTAGACCATCAGCCCGCCCTTCTTGTACGCGTTGATGAAGCCTCGATAGTCGCCCAAGTCCTTCACTCGGAGCGCCTTTCCGTTTGTCAGGGCAATCGTGTGTCTCTCCCCGGCCACCACGTGCTGCACCGTGCACCCGTCCAGCCCCCCGACTCGGTAGGGCTGGAGCCGGACGCTCTCGTCCCCCCCACCCAGCTCGCCCCAACGGTTGAACCCCCAACCCCACACCTGCGTGCCCGCCATGTCTACCGCAAGAGCCGTGGAGTGCCTCGCGCCGGCGCTGACCGACCGCACTCCCTGCAACCCGGTGGCCATGACCGACTCTGGCCTGTCCCACATGTGGCCGTCTCCTAGCTGGCCGTACATCCCCCCGCCCCACGCGGCCACCTCGCCGGAGCCCAGCACGGCCAGAGTGTGAGTCCCGCCGGCCGACACGCCAGCGATGGTCCGTTTCAACTTCCGTAGTGCATGGGTAAGGTCCTCGACTTCCATGGGCGAGGCGTGCGTTTGCTGCCGCTCGGAACCCAGTCGACCGTGGTCTGGGTTTCCCCAGGCGTAGGCGACGATGTCCCGGCGTTGGTTTGGGCGTAGCAGGTCCACCATGGCGACGCTGTGGTCAGCGCCGGCCGATATCTTCAACGGGGTTTCCCGCTTGGTCCAGCGTATCGCCACGGGACTCCGCTCGCATTCACCGGCCTCTCCTGTTCCCAACTGCGGTGGTTTGTTAGGCCGTCAAAGATGGGGAGGGGGAGGGGCGTCCTTGTGTTTCGCATGCCTTAGCGGTTAGACCAGTGACCACGCGTGCTTGAGAGGACGGAGCATTGTTCCTACAGAACCGATCACCGATGGCCAATCGTTCCTTCCTACTTTACCAACCGTGGCTCAAAAATGTCTTCCCTAGCCTATCTATCCTATCGGTATCACTTCCCGCCTTTTCAACCCACTTCCTATGCCCCAGCACAGCAACGATGGGGGGCGTGTTATTACAGATAATCGATGTCCGGGAGACTCATGATCAAGCGAGGTATTCCACCCTGACAGGGAGTAGGCCGGCCCGTACCCACTGGGACATGCGAAAGAGCCTCCAATAACGTTTGCACGCCATGCAGCGGGTGTCTTTTCACGTCGTATTGCAGTCGCACAGGATGTGGTCAGACTTCTGTATTTCTTGTGTGGAATCATCTCTTCGCCGAGAGTTCAACCCCTGCATAAGGAAAATTGACTGGTTTCATAGTCAATATGTTGACGCACATTCACGTGTCTCCAATGTAGTGCTGTGCCCGCCAATCTCAGCACACGCATAACGCCTGGGGTGTCACATGGACATTGCGGCCCAAACGTTTGGCCCTTACCTGACCCCAGTTGTTGCGGCCCCATGCATATACCTCGTGTGTCTTCTGCGTGAGGCAAAGCACGTGCCACTTGCCGGCGCTGACCGTCTCGGCCGTGGCTGGTTGGTTCTCCGCGAACAGGGGGATGCGGCTAGGAAACCACCGGCTCTCGTCATCGCCCAAGCCAAGACACCCAAATTTGCCGCTACCCCACGACCACACCTGAAGAGAACGGACAAACAAACCGCGTGAATTGCACAAGATGTACACCGCTGAGGGGTCGACTGCAAATGCGACGAAGGTTAAGGTTACCGCAGCAAGTATATGCGAACAGTATCGGTGGGTCGAAGGCAAACATCAAGGGGTGTAGTATCAACAGTGAAACTGCAAGCCGAGTCTTCGTGCAACAAATGGTTCACTAACTGTAGAAGAGCTGACGCACACACACACACCTCACCAAAGTCCGTCACCAGAAAGCTTGACGCGAAGCCCGCGGCTAGCTCTTTCACTATCAGCTTGGGCGGCACCTGCACCGGAACGGGGAAAGTCTCGCTCCCTCGCGGAACGAGAGACTTAGGTACCGAGACCATCTCCTCAGTGGAGCCCGGAACAAGTACCACCGGACGATCCATGCACCCGAGCTGCCCGTCATCCCACACGCCACAGGCCAACACCTCGCCGCATTCGAGCAGGAACAGCGAGTGCCGCCCTCCTGCGGCCGCGCGGACAACATGTCGGCCCGCCAGCGCCCCGATCGGGAACGCTGGTCGAGGAACATTCTGCGCGATCGGAATGTCGAGGCCGTAGCCCAGCTGGCCGCCATCGCCGGTCCCCCACGTGAAGGCGTTGACGACTCGACCATCGTCCTTGGGCTCCTTAGCCTTCTTCTTTCTCCGCTGCATGAGCCCTCACCTAGCCTAACCCGGAACCCTTTGGGTCCTTGGTACTTGTTACACATCCACGACTAGATCTTTGTAAAGATCGAAAAAAAAAATCGCTCTAGCGAGAGAGACGGTTCGAAAAACAGCCCGAAAAAACACGCCTCCCGAACCTCTTTTGTCTTGTTCCTCGCTTTTTGTCTTTCGTTTGCTGCTCTCATCATCATCACACTCCGAAAGAGTGTGGAGAGACCCACTGATCGCATTGGTTGTGATATGTCTCTGCTCAACTCGTCATGGGCGGGTGCTTTGTTGGTGGTCATTGCCGGCGCTTGTCTCGTGCGCCTGGAGTCTCCTTTTGATCCTGTGGTATGGGAACATGTAAGTGCTCACGGATGCATTTTGTAGTCTATGCATGTGAAGGACTATACATACTGCTGTGGACTACTGTACCGATTGTAGAGTACCAGTCCAGTTGCTCCGCACATCGCGCGGGTTTATGTGCCGCGATCTCTTGAGATACCTTTAGTCTTAAGCAATTGCTTCTGCTACAGTAGAATTTCCGTGCTTCTACAACACCCTAGTCTTTCATGTGTTCTTTCTATAAACACCGCCAATGAACGGGTGACGTTGTGACTACGGCTGCTGTTGATCCAGCAGGTATTTTACCCGCAGGCGGGTATGGTCGCACCACGATGATTGTATACAACCACGAAGATGGTCACACAACTACGGTGAAATATTTTCTGGTATACGAGTTCATCATCTACCCGGTCGGGTAAAAGCAGAGCTTGGGTAACACGTTCATAATCTACCCTGGTCAAAGTGCAGTTTGGGCTTGCATACAATTGCAGTTCAGAATCTACCCAGTCGGGTACTATTATACACGACACTGCTGTCAAATCTGATTTATGTACGCGGGTACTTTAGTCTTTCCCTCTCCAAAACACCCGATGTGCCACCCCGCACCCCATGCCTATTGCTGCTGTTGATCCAGCAGGTATTTTACCCGGGTACAACAACGTATGGGCATAATCTACCCCGGGTAGAGAGTGGTAGACTTTCGGTAGATAACGCCCTCAGAATCTTACCCGGTCGGGCAAAAGTTCAGTTTGGGTAACATCGTCAAATCTACCCGCAGGAACTGCCTAATCCAACACACCCGATGTGCCGCCCCGCACCTCCCGGGTCAATGTTCGCGCTTGAACTTGTTTACGGCAGGAACGCTCTATGCGTCGGCATTGAACGTACCACAAAACATTGTGTTGTGTGTGTGTGTTTTCGTCCTATTTGGACACACATTGTACATTGTACTCGTGCCTTTGTCAGAGCGTTCCAAAGGAGAATCGTGCGGTATTACATGTAAGTTCGTTGTCGTCGAGATGTTGTGCTTCGTCTTTCTACGTGTTTGGTATAGTAGCACATCCTCAAAGGGTGTGTTCGATAGTTAGGGAATACCCGTACCAAGCTAGATTTGACAATGTTACCCAAACCACACTTTACCAGGGTAGACTAGATTCTGCCCGTGATGCCCAACCTATATTGTACTTTTCCTCTGCACCGCGCAGTCACTGGCGGTGTTGTAGAAGCACGGAAATTGTTCAAGACTAACGTGGTCAAGAACCGCGTTTCTGTTTGAATAGGTAATACCTTACAAGGCAAACCGATTTCTGCATTAGCAGAGGTGCTCGTCGTCTATCGGTGTCCGTTAAGCTCGCGGATAGCGCGAACACTGCTACATGGGAGCATCATATGATGGCTGCGGTGGCAACACATTTCCACCACATGCCAAACGTCTTGACCCTCCCCCACCCCCATTCCCGTTTCGTCGTCTATGCCTCCGCATCGGCATCGATTAAAATCGGCCCTTTGCATCTGTTACAACAGCCGACAGACCTTCCCGTGCTGGAGGGCGCACTGTCGCCCAACGAGCGCTTGCTTGAGACGGAGCACCTGCACGAGGGCCAAGTGATCGCCCCCGAGGCGTTTGCGGAAGGTTTGTTCGCGCTTGGTGTCACCGATTCTCTGCTGCTGCTGCTGATGTAGAATCCGTTAATAGAGTTCGTCAATGCGACCGTGGTTGGCCGCCAGGTGGACAGCAGTGCTTGGGCTGGGCCTCGGTGTAGCGATGTACAGTTTGACAATCGGGAAGAACAGCGGTGGTGTGCTTTCGCGCGACACCTGCAATAGGCGAAAAGGGGACACGTTAGCTGTCCCACGGCGACCTTCCGCGACGAACGTGCCTGAGAAGCAGCAACGGACAGCCGACACAAGGCTCCGCGCGCCTGCTTCCTCTGTTGTACCCAACAAGCAAAAAAGAAGGCACAGATGTATGCACGTTGATTCGAATCGAACGGCAAAGGTTCTGCCTCTCTTGAGCAGCGCGCCTGTGTTCTAACTGGTCGACACACCGCGTGGCTCTCTCTGCGAAAACGAAGCAGGGGACGATGGCTCCCTGTACACCGGAACATGGGACGGGAGGGTTTACAGGATGGACCCCGACGGGACAAATCCCACGGTAGTTTTTTTCACGGGAGGGGTGGTTTCCGCGGCGGGGAGGGCCGTCGGTTCGACCACGGGGGTGGAGTACGGCACGAGTTTCATGCACGAGTGCCACGAGAAGGTGCCGTGACGGGATTCTTGCTGTTAATATGTAGCGCCTTGTTGCACCCAGCTTTACGCACTGTTTTGTTCGTTCGCAGTATTTGCAAAACAATTATTGTTATTTTTTTCGTTGGGGGCAAGGGGGGGGGAAGGGGTACTCATTTGTTGCTT